TTGATCGACGGCCATACGTAGCGCTGGGTTACGAGCTTGACCGTCGCGTTGATTCCCGGGTGGGACAGCTGGTGCAGCGAATCGAATGCGACTTTCCTGAACTCCTGAGGAACGAAGGGCCGCGCTGTCTGTGTTGAGACGTCGCAAAAAACTGCAACGTCGGTGCCGGGGATGCGTACCTTCTTTATTAAGAGGGTGGAGTCTTCCTCTAGATATCGCTGGAGCTCTTCGTCTTGTTGTTGGGCTGCTGCCAAGGCTTCGTAATCGAGCGTATGCTCAACTTCCTCTACGCGTGACAGAGCGTCTGCTACTACGTTGTCCTCCCCGGAAACATGGCGGATATCGGTGGTGAATTGTCCGATGAAGTCCAGGTGTCTGAATTGTCGAGGTGAACATTGGGCCGACTTCTTGTGGAACGCATAGACGAGAGGTTTGTGGTCCGTGTAAACTGTGAATGATCGTCCTTCCACGGTGTGCCTGAAATGCTTGATTGCTAGGTAAACAGCAAGTAACTCCCGATCGTAGGCTCCGTATTTTGCTTCCGCAGGACTTAGCTTCTTGGAAAAGAATTCCAGGGGTTGCCAGGCGTCTCCGATCCGTTGTTGTAGGGCTGCTCCGACTGCGTAGTCTGACGCGTCGCTGAAGATTGCGAGCGGTGCGTCGGGCTCGGGATGAGCTAGCAAGGTTGCTTGGGCTAAGCATTCCTTGCTTGCTTCAAATGCCTCTATAGTTGTTGACGTCCAGTTGACTGGCGACTTCCCTTTAACATTGCCTGACAGCAGGTTGTTAAGCGGTGCTTGCGTCTCTGCAGCCTTGGGCAAGAATCTTCGATAAAAATTCAACATGCCCAAGAATTGACGTAATTTCTTCACCGTGTCGGGTCGTGGATAGGTCCGTATGGCGTCGACCTTCTCCGGTAACGGGCGCGTCCCTGCGCCGGAAACAAGGTAGCCGAGAAATTTGACTTCGGGCTGTCCGAATACGCATTTAGCTGGGTTGATGACGACTCCATACTTCTTCAGCCGCTCGAACAGAATCCTCAGGTGTTTTAGATGTTCTGCTTCTGATGTTGATGCGATGAGGATGTCGTCAATGTATGCGTAGCAGAACTCCAGACCTTGCAGCACCTCGTCAATGAAGCGCTGGAAAGTCTGTGCGGCATTACGCAACCCGAAGGTCATGTACTCAAATTCGAAGAGACCGAAAGGCGTCGTGATGGCTGTCTTAGAAATGTCCTCCTCCGCGACAGGAATCTGATTGAAGGCTCGTACCAGATCGACGGTGGAAAAGACGTTTTTCCCATGAAGTGACTGGGAGAAATCCTGGATGTGTCTCACGGGATATCGGTCCGGGCAGGTTCTCGCATTAAGGGCGCGATAATCTCCGCAAGGACGCCAGTCATCGCCTTTTTTCGGCACCATGTGTAAGGGCGATGCCCAGGAGCTCTGTGACGGGCGAGCGATGCCCAGGTGCAGCATGGCCTCGAATTCCTTCTTCGCCGCCTTCAACTTCTCTGTTGAAAGTCGACGTGGCTTCTGTGCGACAGGCGGCCCTGGTGTGGTGGTGATGTAATGTCTCGTCGAGTGACTTACGGCCTTGGGGGTTCCGTCCGGTCGTGTCACCTCCGGGAATTGGTGGAGGAGTTCGTGATACCGCGACGAGCCTGAAATGGTCTTAACACTCGGAATGTCACACTCAATCACCCTTCCATGAGAGGTGAGTTGAGTGGTCGCGTCCAACAGCCGCTGGTTCCTCATGTCCACCAAGAGTCCGTAGTGCACGAGGAAGTCTGCACCGATGATTGGCTTGGAGACCGCGGCGACGACAAACCTCCAGGTGAATTGCCGTCGCAGTCCAAAGTCCAGAGCTAGCGCTACTGTTCCGTATGTAGCGATTGTTGTGTCGTTAGCCGCGGAGAGCTCGTAACTTGATTTCGTACGAGGTCCCGGTAGGCGCGAGCGTGGAAATACGCACACGTCGGCTCCCGTATCAATTAAGAATAGTAATTTGGTGGATCGATCGCTGACAAAGAGGCGGCGCGATATCGCGGGGCTGATGTCGTCGGCCGCCATTAGCGACTGCCCTGTTCGTTTCCCGGAGATCTATCACTGTACTTGCACGGCTTTTCGCACTTTCTTGCCTTGTCGCCGTATTGCCAATGGTACCAGCATATCTCGCCAGCTGCATCAGGACGCTGGCTCCGTGATCGCGAGCGCGACCGGAAACGCGAGCGCGACGGAGAGCGTGAGCGCGATCTTCCGCAGGCTTCGCAGGATCCGCTAGTTGGCTGACGCGCTCCTTGGGTATTAACCTCGATCGCCTCGAGCCTCCGTACCATCTCCGCCATTACACGAATCAGATCGTCACCGTGTGCTCGGGCAGGCTGAGGTGCGGGGGTTGACGTCTCGGCGATGAGACCTGCCGGGCCGTACAAGTCCGCGATGGAATCCGCGATATCGGCTCGCTTATCGAGCGTGAGGTCCCGATGCGCCGCGAGGAGGGCCTGGACGTGCCTAGGCAGACGGCCCAGCCAGAGCGTCTGCAAGACGTCCTCCGGGAACTCCTTGCCGGCAAGACCGCGAAGATGCCTGAGGAACTGCGACGGTTTACGATCTCCGAGAGGCTCGTTCTCCAACAGGCGACGCGTGTTCTGCTCGCGTGAAGAGCCAAGGCGTTTGATCAGCTCGGTTTTTAAGAGTTCGTACGATTGTTCTTCCCTCATAAGTATGTCGCGGACCTCCAGAGCGTACCTTTGATCGAGGGCTGTGATTACGTAGCCATATTTGGTGCTGCTCTGCGTTATTCCTGCAGCTGCGAAACCGCCCTCCAGCATCCTGAACCACAACTCCGGGTCCGCGGGTATGAATGATGGCACTTTCACTGATACCCGATCGATCGACGACGAATGTGACGGGTTCGCCGTTTCGCGGTTCGCGACACCACTAGCGTTGTTGTGCGCCATACTGATAAACTCGGAGCGTCCAGCACTACGATGCACGGCACAGATCACTCACGATTCGCAAGAACAACAAATTTCAGATCACGTCGGGGTCACCAATTTGTGGGGTATGTCACAACTAAGACTCTACGTTGCAATAAATAATAATTCTGTATTTGTTTCTTTTATAATACAATTGTTAAATGAGTATATCTGATGTGAGCGTGATGTGTCTGTACGCGAGCGAGTCAGTAGTATCGTGTTCAATCGGGTGATGTGAACTCTGTGCAAGCCGGGAAGTTACTCCTCTCTGGAAATCTGGATTCCGCATGCATGAACCGAGAAAGGTTTTTTATAATAGGAGAAATTTTACAAGGGATGAATTGCATAAGGAAAAACCATGTGTTTGCCAAATGTTACATGGCAATCTATAGACTCGGAGGACGGCTGCGAAACATGCAAGGGTTGTAAATTCTATTGAGGTGAAAGCGGATGCATGCATGCGGGAATTAGAAAGTTGGTAGGATTTCGGACATGTGTGGAAAATGTGCGTGTGTATGTAACACGAGCGGAGTAGGAGACAATTGTCCCTACAGATAGAAGCACAAATAAATTCATGCTATCTTTTTCTCTCAGGAGGACACTCTTCGCTACCGTATGAGCAGTCTATGTTAATATATCTATGATCTGCATGCAGTAAAAAGAAAAGTATGCAATAATTAAATATGCAGTTACTTACTTTCATATTTGTATGTACATTTTCTTTTATATTTTCATAGTCGTCGCCGTCGTCGCCCCTGATGACATAGGCTCTGTCATTGTAGCTCTTTGCATTGTCGCCGTCGTATTTAATTGATGCAGTCTTTTTGTTTTCATTACAAATTCTAAATCTTTATTATGAAAGGATAAACATGTTATATATGGCTAGTGTTTAATGTACGGTGCACTATTCTGTGCAGGTACAGTAAAAATTATATTTAATTTCATAAGTAATTATAATTACTTATTAATGTAACTTATAATTACTTATAAAGTTAAATATAATTTTTACTGTACCTGTACAGAACTGAAATAAGATTTTTACTGTACCTGTACTTATTATATAATAACTTGTAATATTTTGCAGTCTTTTTGTTTTCTTCAGAAATTATAAATCTTTATTATGAAAGAACAAACATGTTATATATGGCTAGTGTTTAATGTACGGTGCATTATTCTGTGCAGATACAGTAAAAATTATATTTAATTTCATAAGTAATTATAATTACTTATTAATGTAACTTATAATTATTTATAAAGTTAAATATAATTTTTACTGTACCTGTACAGAACTGAAATAAGATTTTTACTGTACCTGTACTTATTATATAATAACTTGTAATATTTTGCAGTCTTCTTGTTTTCTTCAGAAATTATAAATCTTTATTATGAAAGAACAAACATGTTATATATGGCTAGTGTTTAATGTACGACGCACTATTCTGTGCAGATACAGTAAAAATTATATTTAATTTTATAAGTAATTATAAGTTATATAAATAAGTAATTATAAGTTATTGTAAGTAATTATATAATAATTACTTTTAATAACTTGTAATATTTTGCAGTCTTTTTGTTTTCTTCAGAAATTATAAATCTTTATTATGAAAGAATAAACATGTTATATATGGCTAGTGTTTAATGTATGGTGCGTTATTCTGTACAGGTACAGTAAAAATTATATTTCATTTCATAAGTAATTATAATTACTTATTAATGTAACTTATAATTACTTATAAAGTTAAATATAATTTTTACTGTACCTGTACAGAACTGAAATAAGATTTTTACTGTACCTGTACTTATTATATAATAACTTGTAATATTTTGCAATCTTTTTGTTTTCTTTAAAAATTCTAAATCTTTATTATGAAAAAATAAACATTTTATATATGGCTAGTGTTTAATGTATAGTGCGCTACTTTTATAAGTAATATTAGTATTTTATTAAATATTGAAATATATGAATAAATATATTATGTGTAAATAATTGTAAAGCTACACTAAGCATATTCTTTTCTCCCTATTCCTTGTCTCTATATCTCCTAAATATAAAAACACTAAATATCAATAATATTATCAATAATTATAATATTTCGAATAAAAATAAGAATAGTAATTATTATTAAAGAAAAGGTTAAATGAAATTGTGTAGTCGACCAAACTAGCCAGAAATATAATTTATTCAATACGACGTTTCGACCATATGGTTGTAGTCCTTATCAAGTATACACTGGAATAGATATATAAGTTGCAAAAAATTATTATTTACATCTAATTTTCGGTTTGAACCGTAATACGCACAATTAATTTAGTTTAAACGTGAGATATTTTAAATATACATACAAATTAGCCGACGTATTGGTAATCAGAGCGTCGGCATAGATAATAATCTTGTACAAAGCACAAGTCACATTAACAAAACTTTGTTTTTAAAATTCAATTTTTAAGAACAATGAGTCCGTGTGGGACCTCGTCAAAGACTGAACGCGATCATAAGTAAACGGAACTACATGACCTTTATTATTTTGTCATAAATGTTGTTTAAGTTTTCTGTGTCTTTTTGTAAGTTGATTAAGTTATCAAATCTCTTTATGAAAAACATCTCAGCAATTTCTCTTTTGCGAACATACTTTTCGTTGTGTAGGATGTTCGGTTTTATCCAATCAAAATCATGGCCAGATTCTAATCTATGCTTGCTAATTACTGAATGATTAGTTTCATGTAATTTTATGTTATTACAGTGTTCTTTTACTCGCGTACGTAAATGTCTTTTTGTTTGTCCGATATATGCTAAATTACAATCCTTGCAATTTAATTTGTATACAACGCCTGTTTTATCATTATCGTGTAAGCGATCTTTACCCCGTGTAATTAAATTATTTAGTTTTTTTATTATCTTATACACGACCTTAAAGCCTCTATTACGCAGGAGACGGTATAAATCTTGACTAACATTTTCAACGTATGGTATTGTGATAAACCGAGTCACATCAGAACGAGTAAGATTCACGTCAGTTGTAGCATTATGGTCACGATTATTTAAAAAGTTGAGTCTTTTTTTAATGTGTTTATGTATAAAATGTTCCGGAAAGCCGTTCTTAATTAACGTGTCAAAAACTAGCTTTATGTTGTCTTGTTTAAAGCCGTCATTTGATAATAAGATCGCGTGGTCAATTAAATTATAAATAGTATTAATTTTATACTTTTGTGGGTGGTTCGAATGATAGTTTATATACCTCCCTGACCATGTAGGTTTCCGGAACCAATTAGTGATAAGTCTATTATCGAACCGAATAATTTTTACATTCAAAAAGCTAATGGATGAGTCAACTTCAGTCTCATAAGTGAATCTTAAGCGCTCGTGATAATTGTTGAACTTTGTCAAGATCTCGTTGATTTTTGCGCGTGGTACTATTGCGAAAACGTCATCGACAAATCTTGTATAATAAGTAGGAACGGTAAAACCTAATGAGTTTAGACATTGTATCTCCAAATCTTCCATTACCATATCTGCTAAGATAGGTGAAAGTGGAGAGCCCATGGGGGTGCCGAAGATCTGCTCATAAAAACGTCCGTTAAATGCAAAACAAGTTGAATCCAAGATCAATTCCGTTGCAAATAAAAATTGAGAAAGGTTGAATTTTGTGTTCTTGGCAATATCTTCCCAGCGTTTCCGTATGGCCTTTACTACCAAATCTTTTGGGACGTTAGTGAATAATGAAGCCACATCCAACGAAACCATAATGTTGTCCTTGTCAATATCAGTGTTCTTGATAATTTCGACAAAGGACCAACCATCTTTGATATATGAATTTGGTTTTCTTATCGATTTATATAGGATATCGTGGATGTAACTCGAGATATTGTATACTGGGCTTCCCAAAGCAGATACTATGATTCTCAACGGAAAACCATCTTTATGAATCTTCGGCAGCCCGTAGCATCGCGGTAAATTTCCGTTCGTGCAATTTAAGTTTTTATATGTCAACTCACCGATCAAACCGCTCGTACGCCAAGACTTGACTAACTCATTGATTTTTTAATAGATTAGTTAATCTTTTCAAGGGATCCTTTTTTAATTCTCTGTAAGTGGCTGTGTCACTCAGCAGCAATTCCATCTTGTCGAAATAATCACTCTTGTCCATAACGACAGTGATCTGACCTTTGTCAGCTCTCGTGACCATGATGTCTTTATTTTCGCGTAAATATCTCTTGGAGACCGCGTAAGACTGCAAAATGCGTCTATCTGAATAATTGGTACGTTTATTGTTGTCAAGAAATCTCTGAAGGATGTTAGAGATAGAAATTCTAGTTGTTTCAATAGTATCTGTTGGCAAAATATTACTATGCACTTCGAAATTCTTGACAACATCCAAAACAAGATTGTTGCGATCATTTTTTTGTTTCTGTTCAATGGGTAACGCAAAATTGTCACCCAAGCTTAACACATCAGAAACAGTGTCCGGTATGTCCTTGCTGCTGATATTCACGAACCACTTAGATTTGTCAATGTTTGAAAACGGATGCTCGTTATATTTTTGTTCCAGGTTGTTAAATTTTTTAATTGAATTATTTTTTGTACTGTAATTGAATGATGTCAATCTATGTTTATTTAATTCGAAAAAAGTAGTCAATATGTCATGTGGTAGGCATTCAAAAAGTCGTTTTTCAATGTTTTTAATTTTGTCATGTAAATAATTTAAATGGATGTTAAGATCTTCAATCTCGAAATTTAACAACATGTGTTGATTTGTTTTTATAAAAAGGTTAAACTTGCGTTTAATGCTATTGCTGTGGAACGCAATACTAATTTTCAATTTTTTAATGTGCGTAGGAATTAAATCGTGTCTTCTGCACCGAATCAGAAAAGTCAGTTGTTGTTTCGCGGTGCAGATCTTCTTTTTACAGTTTGTCCATGTTTTCAACAGTGTTGTACAGTTGTTATCAAACCTTTGAGAGATGTGTTGAAAGAAGTCATCAGTGCGAATTTGCTCCATAATTAGGTCCAGGAGCGGATTTAGAAATTAGTAAATAACTTAATATCGCTAGTCGAATTTACAAAAGGTTAAATGAAATTGTGTAGTCGACCAAACTAGCCAGAAATATAATTTATTCAATACGACGTTTCGACCATATGGTTGTGGTCCTTATCAAGTATACACTGGAATAGATATATAAGTTGCAAAAAATTATTATTTACATCTAATTTTCGGTTTGAACCGTAATACGCACAATTAATTTAGTTTAAACGTGAGATATTTTAAATATACATACAAATTAGCCGACGTATTGGTAATCAGAGTGTCGGCATAGATAATAATCTTGTACAAAGCACAAGTCACATTAACAAAACTTTGTTTTTAAAAAATGTAATTATTATACTTGTAATTATTATTATTATAATTATTCTTTTATGTTTATTTTACATATTATTTATTATAATTAGTATTTTTTCATTTTCAAATTCATCTTTATGTTAAATATTATTTATGTTTTTTCATTTTCAAATTCATATTTATATTAAATATTATTTATTAAGATTATTTTTTTTCAACAACATAATAATTTAGTATCGAGCACTAAGAGCCCATAAACGCGGATGGCAATGCGTAAATTTTTTACGAACATTAATTGTTCGCGAAAAAATTTTTTAAATTTTTTTCAAAAAAAGGGGTTGTTATAGAAGTCTCAAACCAAGAGAATCTATAACCTGGCATATGTGCATATGTCTTATAAAAATTTTTTCGCGAACAATTAATGTTCGTAAAAAATTTACGCATTGCCATCCGCGTTTATGGGCTCTTAGTGCTCGATACTAAATTATTATGTTGTTTAAATACATAGAGCCGAATTATATACCAATTTATTTATTTTTTTTCATTTTGAAATTCTTCTTTATGTTAAATATTATTTATTAAAATTAAAATATACTTATTCAAAATATTCTTATTATCAATTAAATTATACTTATTTTTCAAATTTAGAACTATGTTGAATTATATGTGTATACGTATATACGTATATATATATAAGATCTATGTATGTGATTTATATCGATTATTATGAACTATCCTGGAACTATTTTGTTGCTATTTTTTATTTTCACTTTACCTACACTCACGCATACATACACACGAATCGTTCTACATACTATACTTTTATATTTAAGGGGATCCTAAAGTGGACTTTTTTACCGACAAAATGTGAAGATTCAGTTCGATCACTATTCTTTTTATTGGCTACACATATCGATAAATCCTTTTCCACAATTAAAGTTCTAAGAATAACGAAGTGCGGAAGCTATAACTTAATGCAAAAAACCAAGAAAAGTTACATAAAACTGTGTTAATTACATTAGTGTTACCGACTTCTTCCATCACGTCGTAACAATATTGTTTTAATATATAAGTTTTGCAGTTTGTCTGTGTAAAAGACACAGCGCTCGCAGTTGGGATAACATGAAAGAATAATACAAAAGTAAAAAAAATGATCTTAGAAGCTTATATAAAAAAATTAATGATCGAACTGTTTAGTGTACGTGCGTGCATGTACAATATCGATATAAAAGAGTAAAAGAAAAAAAAATTAGTTGACGAATAGCATGATAGATGGTACTGTCATCTAAACTTTTATCGACGAGGACAGATAAAATCGTATTTTCTCTTTCTCTCTTTGCCTATGATAATAGTTTATACGTATACGCATGATTGCACTCCCTCGTATTTTTAATTTCGTTTTCTTGATCATATGCTCAATCTGTCTATTTTTTTCACTCACTACCCGCACAGCACTTTATATTTCAGATACACAGCAGATACATAAAATGTGAAATATTACTATATAGCAAATACGTAATAATACGTATAAATCATGTACCAGATACATCTTTAATATCAATAAATGTCCGCGCTATAGATACGTAATTTACGTTATATATCACATACATATGACTATATACAATTTGATATGTGTTAAATACATGAATTATGCATTTGATACGTATCTATAATATTGCAAATACGCGTTTACAATGTACTGTGTATTTTGACTGTTTAAGTCTCCTAATAGCACACATGTCCAAAAAACATTCAGAGGACAGCTAGAGAATGTTTTATGTCCTCTGGCTGTTCTCTGGATGATCCTTGGACATGTGTGCTGTTAGGAACATATATTCACATACATATATATATATATATATATATATATATATATACATATATATACATAAAGTTTAAAGTAATAAAAATAATGTTCCGATACTATATATAATTATATTTTTAAAATGTTTGATGTTAATATTTAGAAATATATTAATGATATAAAGTATTTATATTACTGTAAATTTTATATTTTATTTGATCCAAAACTAAATAAAATAAAAAGTTTGAAGAAATGCATATAACACATATATATATCTCATTCAGTCTTTTTAATTTTATTTTTATATAAAGATTAAATATATAGTTTTACATTTTGTACAAAGTGTTATTACATAAATAGTATATTATATTTTTTAGTTCTTAAGAAAACATCATATAATAAAAAATTTTTAATAAACATGAATAGAAAACTGTTAATAAACATTAAAATATAATTATAAAAAAACTTTTAATGTTCAACGCATAATTATTTATATTAATTATATATTTATATTAATGATTGCTCAAACTTATTAAGAACGAAACATCTGCTGTTTGTTATATATATGTTACATACATGTATGTTACATAGTTTAATAAAAAATAAAAAGAAAAATATCTAATTATAACAAATAAAACAAAATTCTAATGTTCATTATGCAGATTTTCTTAAAATATTTATATCTTCATTTTTTGTATATCATTCTTGATGTTGATCTTGAATATTATCAGTTTGGTTTCTTTCTTTGTTTCTGAAATAATCAATAAATTTAATATTTAAGGTAATATAATTATTATTAAATATAGAAATATCATATAAAGAAATATATAATAAAATAATTTCTAAAATATAATTATAAGAAACGTACAATAATCTTTCAATATTCATTTGAATATATATGTTTACTTTGAATAGAAAAACATAATGAATATCATATCTGAATATTATTATTAGAAACAAATTACTTAAAAAAATGAACATCATTATTAGAAACAAATTACTTAAAAAAAACTCTGAATTGATATATACAATTTTTCTAATAAATATTAATATTTAAAAAAAATAATGTTTACTTACCCAATTCTACGAACACGTGCAGGAGCTTGAACGATCCAATTGATAATAATTTTTATAATTATTTGCTCGGTTGAATATGCGTCGTATGAACGAACAACAGCTACAAATATATATATCAATTTATAATATTATATACATTATCATCACAAACGATATTCATTTATGCTTTGTTCCAATATAACTATTCTGTAGTATAACTATTTCTGATACAATGCTATAACGATTTTTGCAGTATTAATGAATACTTGTTTCATATTATGATTATAGTGTCAAAAGAGACAGAAGGAATTAGCAGAAATTGTTAATTTCGAAAAACAACCACAATTATATAATTATTGATAATAAATGGCTTTGAAATTTTTTACCTATAATTAAACTGACAATCTTAAAACTTCGGAATTCATTTTTTCCTCGAGCTCCTTTCCAGCTAAATAACATTAATATTTCGTCCTTTATTAAAGTTCTGAAAATATTTTTTATCTTGTCTTGTAAGTTTGTTCCACCTTTCAATTTCAAAAAGTCTCTCTGAAATAATTTGAAATATATAAATAATTAAAATATAAATATAAATAATATTATAAAATAGAAATAATTAAAATATAAGTATGAAATGTGTGAAGTTATATGTGTATATACATATACATATATATATATATATATATATATATATATATATATATATATGAAATGCAATTATGTATAATCGCTCATATAATTGATTATCAAATAATAATTATTAATTATTAATAATAATTATAATTATTAAGTAAAAATATAAACATTTACCATTTTAACGAAAAATTCTTCGTTTTTTAAATTTTCTTCTAACTGTTGTAATTCATCCATTGAAGAAATAGTGTTGAAAGCAAAATCTTCTTCGACATTATTAATATTAATTTCTTTACTTGTAATGTGGTCTGCTTTATTTTCTAATCTACTGAGCCTTTTGTCGATGTATGTCACTTCAACTAAGATGCGGTTAACTTTTTTCAAAATTTCCTTCAACACTGAAAATTAGCATATCATGAGTTATATTTAAAAATATTACATTAAAAAAGTTTTTATATTAATATATTTAACCTTTCTGAAATTGATCTTCATTATTCGACATTTTTTTATATATTCGACAGATGGACCATCAAAATCAGTCACATTACTGCTTGACGATTCTAGTAACAAATAATCTTTTTTCGTTTCTTCTTGTGCTAATCGTCTCTTATGTCTTGAAGAAATATCACAGTTATTTCTTTTATCCATATTATAAAAATTATTATTATGTATCTATAAAACACGTAATCAAATACGCATTAACTGTGTACAGCAATTACATATCTATTCTATTGCAAAATAAGAACTTACCTTAATTAGATTCACTGTTTAATTTAAAGGTGATTGTGAAGAAGAGGGATTTCCTAGCTACGATTGATTTTGTGAAAATTTCACAATATTACGTGAAACACTCTTAATTAAAAAAAAATTTATCAAAAACTCAGCTGACATTTAAGATCACAATTGTTTAAGGTTAGGAAACCTCTCATACCGATTAAATATGACTACGCGCGCATGCGTTTTTATAATTATCTGTCGCTATATATCAACTACGTGTTTGATACATTTATATATTTATATAATATGCGCAACATACCTGCATGTTATATATATATATTTTGACTTGGATATTTTATATCTATTGCGCTAATTATGTATTTAATACATTATGTTTGATATGAAATGAAATGCAATGTAAATGCAATATTGTTACGTATTTAATATATATTTACAATGAAAGGTGCTGTGCGGGTACATATCGCTCAACTTCATGCTTTACATTACATGTTGCGTCTCTCTCTCTCTCTCTCTCTCTCTCTCTCTCTCTCTCTCTCTCTCTCTCTCTCTCTCTCATTCTCTCTCTCTTTTTTTTGCTCGGTATTATATTCTTACATTCGCTCATGTTATTTTTACTATTTTTTGGTTCTTATTATTCTATATCAAAAAAAACTTTTTATATATATGCATTTATATATATATATATATATATATATATATATATATATATTATATAGTTTCAAAATATGAAATATTACATTTATCTCTCTTTCTCTCTATTTTGTTATAATAAATATATCTATGTCATCCAATTTATATATATATTTCACATTTGCAGAAAGAAAAATGTGTAGGACAATTGATCATAATTTGCAGCTATTTACAAATCAAGATTCAATAAAGTTGAATATAGAATCAATTTACAAAAAATAAAATTTGATGGACTTTATCAATTTAAATTTTAACCTGTATAAGCGTATACAATTTTACTTCAATTATTCATTTTATACAATGATGATAGTTATGATTTTTATAGCAGATAAATATATATTTATAATTTTTAAGAATTATAGTCTATATTTATCAAAAAAAAATTTTTTTTAAGTAAAACTTGTAAATTTCATTATTATTATATATTACATGTTGAGATTATTTGTAATAGTGATTTTATATACATATTTGTGATGTAAATTGATTCTATTAAACTTTATTTTTGGTAAATAGTTATGAATTCTTATCAATTATCATAAATATTATTCTTACTGCAAATGTAAACAATATATAATATATAAATTGTATTACATGGTGTATTCATTATAATAAAAGAGAGAAAGAGAGACAAATTAAATATTTTATATTAAATTATAAAATAACAATGCATACATGTAAAAAGCTTATTTTGATATAGAGAAATGAGAAAAAAAAACAGTAAAGGTTATGACATGAGCGCATGTAAGAATATATACTACCGAGAAAATAAGAGAGAGAAGAGAGAGAGAAGTTCGAATGAACATGAAAGTAAATATGAAGATAAAAGGCGGATGTAGTAAACGAATGAAAAAAAATGGGCATATGATCGAGAGAACAGAAATACAAGAGTGCAATTACAATTTAAGTAAAATTTTATAAAAGAATACATTTATGAAGGAAATAAAAGGAATGTAAAACTAAATGGGAGTAAAAAGGTAAATGAAATATAAAACCAATATAAAATTAACTTTGTATTTATTCTTATTTATATATATATTTTTTTAATGTACACATACAAATGTACACAAAGATAAATATGCATTTATATAATATATAAGTATGTGTGTGTGTGTGTGTGTGTGTGTGTGTGTGTGTGTGTGTGTGTGTGTGTGTGTGTGTGTGTGTGTGTGTGTGTGTGTGTGTGTGTGTGTGTGTGTGTGTGTGTGTGTGTGTGTGTGTGTGTGTGTGTGTGTGTGTGTGTGTGTGTGTGTGTGTGTGTGTGTGTGTGTGTGTGTGTGTGTGTGTGTGTGTGTGTGTGTGTGTGTGTGTGTGTGTGTGTGTGTGTGTGTGTGTGTGTGTGTGTGTGTGTGTGTGTGTGTGTGTGTGTGTGTGTGTGTGTGTGTGTGTGTGTGTGTGTGTGTGTGTGTGTGTGTGTGTGTGTGTGTGTGTGTGTGTGTGTGTGTGTGTGTGTGTGTGCGTGCGCACACACGTGTTCCATATGACGAAAAATAGAATTCTCATTAGATAAGTATGAATCATAAGTGTAAATGTGTACATGTGTACATACATATTTGTGTGTTTGTATTCACTGTTTTTTATAGAGGTATGTATGTTGCGTGTGTCGGAGGCGCAGAGACGTATGTTGCGTGTGTCGGAGGCGCGGAGGCGTACGTTGCGTGTGTCGGAGGCGCGGAGGCGTACGTTGCGTGTGTCGGAGGCGCGGAGCCGTACGTTGCGTGTGTCGGAGGCGCAGAGACGTATGTTGCGTGCGTTGGAGGCGCAGAGATGTATGTTGTCTGCGCCGGAGGCGCAGAGACGTATGTTGCGTGCGTCGGAGCCGTGGCCACATATCCTGCGTGTGCCGGAGTCGTGGGCACATATTCTGCGTGTGCCGGAGTCGTGGATACAAATCCTGCGTGTGCCGGAGGATTCGGCACATATCCTGAGTGCGGAGGAGGCGTAAGCACGTATCCTGCCTGTGCCGCAGATATGGGCACAAATCCTGAGTGCGGAGGAGGCATATATGAGTAATTATGCCCCCGTTTTTTTTGCCTGTTCATCGCACGCCCCACCGCCTCATTGATACGCTGAAAAAAAGAAAAATAATACATATAGATATCATTATTTAAAAAGTAAAAGCATAATAATAATAATATATTGATACATATACAAATGTGGTTACATGTATTATGTCTTCTTGAAAATAAAAGAAAATGTAATCTATATACACGTATATATATATATATATATATATATATATATATATATATATATATATTTATATATATTTATATACATATATATATATATATATATATATATATATATATATACAGGATGTCCCATTTAACTTGACATATCGATATATATATATGTATATAAATATATATATATATATATATGTTATATATGTTATTATTTTTATACATGGTGATTTAGATTGATGTTTCGTGAACAATTTTTTTCAAATTAAATATAAATTTTTATTCAAGGATTACATCACAAGCAGGAACTTTTAAAATGTTTATTTCTCTATAGTAGATTTGAGATAACCATGAAAAAAATAATTATATGTTGAATTTCAACTGTAGCTTTTTATTTTTTTAATAATGCGTTCTTAAAAAATTTTTAGAATTATCTAATGTTTTGAAATTCTTCAAGTGTGTGACTGAAGAAAATAATAAATTACAGCTAAAGTTTTATATACAATTATTAACTATTTTTTGGAAGCGCTTCAAACTAATTATTGAGAGAGGGAGCATTTTTATAAAATCACCTTTTGTAGCTTAATTATCGAATTATTTATTACAATTTAATTTAATTCGCCTTCTTTTTAAATAATTGAAATTTACAAAAACATATTTTTAAAACACACTGTACACTTATACAAATTAGTATATAAAAACTGAAAAAAATTATATTTAAATAAATTTAGAATTATTGCTAATAATTATTGTTATATTTTAATATGCAGGGTTAAGCATTTAAAGTGTTACAAGTTCTGTTTCAATACACATTATAACAAAAAATATTTCAAAACACTATAATAAAGTATTTTTTCATATAATATTTTTCGAGTTACGAGGCTTGAAATAATTTTTTAATTTTACATAAACTAAAAAATATCTCAAGAAATATTCATTTTACGTTTTTCTTACCTCAAAAATAAGATCATCGAAAAATGAATATTTTACGAGATATTTTTCAGTTTATGTAACATAAAGAAATTATTCCTCATAATTTGAAAAGTACTGCATGGGAAAATATTTTCTTATAGTGTTTTCAAAACCTCTCGAGGTAAAGTACAAAAAAATATAAATAGGTTTTACCATTAAAGAAATTAAAGATGACGTTCATGTAATCTTCAAACAATTATCTAAATTCAAAACAATTACTTTTTCTTATATCTTTCTTAGAGTCAAAACTTTAGTTTGAAAAATTTTTTGCTATAATGTGTACTTTTAGTGATAATGGTCCATATTCTGAATTCTCTTTTATCAATAAAAGTGCCTCTAGAAGGCTGGCTAAGTGGATAAGTCTTTTGACTGGTTACGAGCCACTTTTAGAGGCACTTTATGAATCAAAAAGAATTCAGAATATAGACCAATAGCTTGTAACTCTTTAAATTCCACCTTGTATATATGCATACACATACAAATACACATACATATACAAACACATATATACAGGGTGAGCCATCTGAATCTATCACCCCAAATATTTCCGTTCCCTTACATTTTACAAGAAAATATTTCAGACAAAAGTTGTATGGTTTCTAGGGGGACATAAGATGGTGCCATTAGTTTGACTTTGGAGAGTCACATGAAGGTTACGTGAAGGTCAATTTGAATTTCTTAAATGGAATACCCTATATATTTTTATATATTCTTGTAGCTTATCTTGAGAGCTTTCCAAAACACTGTAAATAAACATT